GTCCAGCTCTGGAGCCCCCAACATAAGAAGGACATGGATGTGTTGGAGCAGGGCCAGAGGAGGGCCACAAAGATGATCAGAGGGCTGGAGTACCTCTCCTATGAGGACAGGCTGAGGGAGTTGGGGCTATTCAGCCTGCAGAAGAGAAGGCTCCGGGGTGACCTTAGAGCAGCTGCCAGTGCCTGAAGAGGCCTATACAAAGGATGGAGAGGGACTTTTCCTAAGGATGTGTAGTAACAGGACAAGGGGGAACCGCTTTAAACTAAAAGAGGGCAGATTTAGATTAGATATTAGGAAGAACTTCACCATGAGGGTGGTGAAACACTGGAACAGGTTGCCCAGAGAAGCTGTGGATGTCCCCTCCCTGGCAGTGTTCAGGCCCAGGTTGGATGGAGCTCTGAGCAACCTGGTCTGGTGGAAGATGTCCCTGCTCATGGCAAGGGAGTTGGAACCAGATGATCTTTAAGATCCCTTCCAACCCAACCATTCTATGATTCTATGATCTGGATGAGGGGATTGAGTGCTCCTTCAGTAAGTTTGAAGATGACACCAAGCTGGGTGGAGGTGTTGATCTGCTCGAGGGCGGGAGGGCTCTGCAGAGGGATCTGGACAGGCTAGGGCCAACTGTAGGAGGTGCAACAAGGCCAAGTGCCAGGTCCTGCCCTTGGGTCCAACAACCCCATGCAACACTACAGGCCTGGGGATGAGTGGCTGGAAAGCTGCCCAGCAGAAAAGGACCTGGGGGTGCTGGTCGACAGCCAGCTGAACATGAGCCAGCAGTGTGCCCACATGGCCAAGAAGGCCAACGGCATCCTGGCTTGGATCAGGAATAGTGTGGCCAGCAGGAGTAGGGAGGTGATTGTGCCCCTGTACTCGGCTTTGGTGAGGCCACACCTCAAGCACTGTGTTCAGTTTTGGGCCCCTCACTCAAGAGGGTCATTGAGTTGCTGGAGCGTGTCCAGAGAAGGGCAACGAGGCTGGTGAAGGGTCTGCAGAACAAGTCCTGTGAGTAGTGGCTGAGGGAACTGGGGTTGTTCAGCCTGGAGAAGAGCAGGCTGAGGGGAGACCTTATTACTCTCTACAACTACCTGCAAGTAGGAGGTTGTAGTGAGGTGGGTGGTGGTCTCTTCACAGAATCACAGAATAGTAGGGGTTGGAAGGGACCTCTGTGGGTCATCTAGTCCAACCCTCCTGCCGAAGCAGGGTCACCTACAGCAAGCTGCACAGGACCTTGTCCAGGCGGGTCTTGAATATCTTCTCCCAAGTAACTAGCGATAGGACAAGAGGAAATAGCCTCAAGTTGCATCAGGGTAGGTTTAGATTGGGTATTGGGAAAAATTTCTTCACTGAAAAGAGTGGTCAGGCATTGGACCAGGCTGCCCAGGGAAGTGGTTCAAAAAACCATGTAGATGTGGCACTTCGGGACATGGTTTAGCAGGCACAGTGTTATGGAGGTGATGGTTGGACTTGATGATCTTAGAGGTCTTTTCCACCCTTCATGATTCTATGGTTCCATCTTCTACCCACACAAACGTTCATGGAAATTTCATGTGGTTTTATTCCAGCTACAACATTTACGCACCGCATACAGCAACCACTGGCAGGGAGAGCCTCAGCACAGCCCCAGAGCGCAGGGCTGGGGACATGTACACACACATACATGTGCTGCCAGCCTGGAACAGAGTGGAGGGCGTGGGGGGCAAGGAGAGCACACCAGCAAGCTCCGGGAAGGCGGCATCCTGCAGGCCAGGGTTCCAGGAGCTGGAGGAGATGCTGGAGGCATCAGTACTTGGGCCGTTTCACCTCCACCCTGGAAGACACAGAGGGGCAGGATGGTGGTGAGGACGCAGGGCAGACAGCTCTGGCCCCCTCCCACCATGAGCTCGGCCCCAATGACCACAGTTTCGCCCCACAGAACAGAGTGGGGCCCAACAGCTCCCTGGGGCAACCAGCTGGATGGGGCAGAAGTGCCTGGTCAAGGAGGAGCCACAGCACGGCCCTGGGGTCTGCACAACAACCACCCATAGCCCAGGGCACCAGTGCCCCGTGGTGCTGAGCAGGGCAGGAGCACCCTGAGGGGCCCAGACGTTCTCCACTCTCCTTCCAGCCCCACTGCCGAGAGCCGGCAGGGAGGTCTCAGCCCCCTGCAGCCCCTGGCACAGGTGGCAGGGGACAGCCAGGCCCCAGCACCGCCCCACGGCCCAGCCCACCGCAGAGACAGCTTTGCTTACCCATCAGCCTCCAGCTTCTTCCTCTTCTCGATGATCTGCAGAGAAAGCACGAACTCCCGTTACCCTCAGGGCAGACGGCTGCCCAGAACCGCAGCAGAGCGGCTGCAGGGTGCCAGACCCACCTGGGGAGAGCTGTAGCCAGGCCAGAGCAAGCTGAGCTCAGCTAAAGCTGTCCACAAGCTGTCCGAGGCCTGGAGAACCTTGGCCTGTTCCCCCTTTGCTCCATTTTGGCCACCAAGGGCAATTTGTTCTCACCTTCCCCACGCCTGTCCCGTACCGTTGGGGTGCTCGTGGCCAGCCCCCCCTGCCAGCACAGCCCCCAGCTCTGCCGGTTAGAAAACAGGGAGCCGCTAAACAGGCCTGGCCGCTTCCACGCCCCTTTCGATGGC